GGAGGAGTCCTTTACGATGGAGATGAGAAGGAAAAGCCAGGAAGTGGGAGAAATACCAGGAGAATGTGATATTTCAGGAGAGAGGCATTTCAAGGGGCAAATGGTGTCCAATGCTATGGAAACCTCAGCAAAGTGAGATCTGAAAAGTGTCCATTTTGAATGTAGTAGCAAGGAGGTTAGTGACCTTGAAGAGAACTGTTTCAGTAAATTGGTAAGGGCAAAGCCGGGCTCGGTGGCTCAGCCTGTAATCCCGCGCCTTTGGGAGGCTGAGGTGAGTGGATTGCCTGAGCCCACGGGTTCGAGACCCACCTGGGCAGCAAGACCTCATCTCTACAATAAATCAAAAAATCAGCCGGACGTGGTAGCGCATGCCTGTAATTCCGGCTACTTGGAAGGCTGAGGCGGAAGGATTGCTGGAGCCCAGCAGGTCGAGGCTGCGGTGGCCGGGAGCGGCCACTGCATTCCAGTCTGGGCGACTGAGTGAGACTTCAACTCAAAAAAAAAAAAATTGGTAAGGGCAATAGTGCAGCGGCTGAGGATTGAAGGTGGGGTAAGAATGTGAGGCGACAAAGAATGTCTCCCTGTTCAGGAAGAAGAGAGCTCTGGAGAGATGTATGGAGTAAAGATTTATTTAATTGATTTACTTTAACAATGTAAGAAATTTGAGAATATTTAAATGCTAATGGAAAGAATTCAGGATAAAATGGGAGGCTGTGAAAACAAGAGAGGGAATTATCTATTAAAAGAGTCTTTGAAAAGCTTGGGGGGGGGGCAGATCCAGAACACAGGAGGAGGAGGGAGTTTTTTCTTTGTGAGACAAAGTAGCAAACATAAGAAGCCATGTTTGCTCATTCTGCTTGCCAGCATAATTTCACAAAGGCCCTGACTCTGTGTCATCATGCAACTCTCCAGGAAGATGCTTCGAAGACAAGACAGGACAGAGTCCACATCCCCCATGTCTCTTGTCTGAGTCACTATATCCATTACAAGATAAATGACCCTACTTCTTGCTTTTCCCTATACATGAGATAACCTGCGACAGGGCTAGTGATTCTGCTTCCACAGTCTCTAGCCAAATGCACTTTAGTACTCTATAATCAGATGTGGTCTTACACCTAAACTTTGATGTGATTTTGCATGTACTGAACATAAGCAAGGGGTTGGAACACTGTTCCTGAACTATAAGCTTGGGTCTAAAGTTCCCAGTAAGACTTCTGAATAAGACTAACTTTTATTCTTTAAAAGTTTGATTTTTTTTCTTTAGTCAACAGTAACAAGGAAGAAGAGAGGAATCAGAAGGTAGATAAGATATTAGATTGGTAGTGGGAAATGGAGGGAATTCTTGATAACGTTTGCTCTTCCAAGTAGGAGGCCTTGCCACTGTTTGAGAGTGTGGGAGACAGTAGCACCGGAGTTCAGAGAACAGAGAAGGTTTAAAACAGACCCAGTGGAGTTGGAGATTGAAAGGAGGATACAGAAGAGATTCCAGGCAATGTATGTGGGCCCATTCATTTGTGGTACCAACCTGCACAGCTGAGTGTTTTCTTGAGCTAGGTGGTAGGTGTGGAGAAGGCCTAGAGGTCTACAGTTGGGTTTTCTTTTTTCTTTTTCTGAGTCAGAGTCTCACTCTGTCACTCAGGCTGGAGTGCGTGGCACGCTCAGGGCCACCGCAGCCTCAACCTGCTGGACGCAGGCAATCCTTCTGCCTCAGTCTTCCAAGTAGCTGGAACCATAGGTGTGTGCCACCATGCCCGGCTTTTTTATTTATTTATTTTAGAGATGCAGTCTCACCAAGTTGTCCAGGCTGGTCTTGAATCCCTAGCCTCAGGCAATCCTCTCGCCTCTGCCTCCTAAAGTGCTGGGATTACAGGCGTGAGCCACCTTGCCTGGCTCACTTGGGGTTTTGACAGGTGGACCCAATGAAAGACAATGGGGGTTACAGATGTGGATAAATGATGGACAGTGCATTGAGTCTAACCAAGCATCCAGGAGAAAGCAGATGAAAGCCCAAGAGAGGGTAAAAGGGTTCAGGAATTTTAAACTCTAATTAAATTTTGTCCTCTCTTTCTACCCATGTAGACCATGTAGAAAGAGACTGAGGCATTAAGGAACTGAGGCTCTCAGTTCAACATTCTTGAGGAACTGAATCCTGCCAACAACTATGAGTGAGCTTGGAAACAGATCTACCTTCCGTCAGAGGAGGGACCTTGAGATGAGACCACTACCCAATTCCCCAATCTCCCTTGACATCTTGATTGCAGCTTTGTGAGAGACCCGGAGGAAAAGGTCCTCAGCCAAGCCATGTCCAGATTCCTGACCCACAGAAACCGTGAGATACTCATTGCTTTAATACTTAAGTTTTGGGGTAAATTGTTATGCAATTAATAGAAGATACAAGATAATAAACTGAGTGCAGCAATTATGAGGGCAGCAATTATGATCAAGGAATAAGGTGTTTGAGTTTATCATCTGGTAAACTAAAAATAAAGTTCTAACTTCTCCCCCTCTCCCCAGATGAATGGTCCCCTCTTGGCCACAAGGGAAAGGGAGGTTGGTTACACCTCACTTTTGTAGTTTAGAGGCAACCGACCAGCATTAATATTAAAATAGAGATCAAAAGACTGACAGAACAGACTCTCAGTGGCAATAAGACACCAAATTATAAACTTAACCCGGGCAAGGGTTAAGTCACAGACCCCTATACTTACTATGTTCTAACTGCCACAAAGTTTTTCTTTTTCTATAGCAGCTAAGCAAGCACGGGCCTCCAGATAAGCAATATTAAAACAATTGTAGCCTGGGTGTGTTGGGTCATGCCTATAATCCCAGCACTTTGGGAGGCCAAGTGGGGAAGAATCGCTTGAGTCTAGGAGTTTGAGACTAGCCTGGGCAACATAGTGAGACCTTATCTCACAAAAAAAAAATTTAAAAATTAGCCAGGCATCATGGCACATGCCTGTAGTCCAGTTACAAAGGAGGATGAGGCAGAAGGATCACCAGAGCCCAAGAGGTCAAGGATACTGTGAACTGTGATTGTGCCACTGCACTCCAGCATGGGTGATAGCGTGAGACCCCAACTCAAAACAAAACAAAATAATTGTAGCTCACCATTAGACACTGAAAAACTGACCCCCTGTGCCACAAGCCATACCTACAGCTTTGATTGGACAAGAGATTGATTTCAGTAATTTTCTTCTGATCAGACCACTGACCATGGACTGGTTCTTCCTCGTTTACAGAGGCTGTGCATTTGAGTGCCTTTGTGTCCTGAAAGCCCTTTTGACATACAGGGCCAAATTGTAGTATACTTAAATATTAAGTCTATATCCCATGGTGAACATGGGTTGTAACATGTATGTTTGTTGAATATGCATGTCTCAGAACTACCTTCATGAATATTCATAGTTCTTCCTGTAACCTGTTGAATGATATCTTTAGTCAACCCTTCTTCCTTCAGAGTGCCTGTCTCTGGTCTTTGCCTAGGCTATGCTCGCGTCCCAGCTTGCAGGCTGTAACCCTTTACAAGAAAGAAAGGCTCCTTTTGTAGATTTTTAGATTGTGTGATTTTTTTAGTTAACAGATCTCAGTCATGAAGTTATAATGCTTTATCTGTCCTGGATAATGTGGCTAACCTGGTGCAGAAGTCCAATTTACTGAAGGTCAGGTTAGGGAGCTGAGAGGCCAGGGTGTCAGATAAGTCACTTCATAAATATTGAAGTATTTCAGGATCACTGGATGGAGAAGGGTATGCACCAGGTGTTAACAGCGTCAATGAATGACAAGGTAGCAGTTGGGGCACGGTAGACAACAATGTCAACTAAATGGAGAGTAGTATAACCAGATGGAATCAGCTTTCAGGAATTTTTTTTCTTTTTTTGAAGAGGGGGAACAAATTCATGGCATGGAAGGAGTGCTACGGATCTAGGTGATGCAAACCCCAAAACTTGACCCTAGGACATGTGAGCATGGGAGAATAAACAAACCACCTCGTTTTATTTTGTTTTTTATATTTTATTTTAAAGATGTAGGGTACAATTCAGGATTAGTGGTCATTGTACAGGTAAAGTTTGGGTCTCCCTTTGATCCCCACTTTGCCTGGTTTGAGATCAGGTACCCTTAGTGATGTTGTGTTCCCCCCACACACTCCGGCAGTATCCCACTACTGCCAATCCCTTTCTTATAGTATTATGGTAAATGTTCAGAGTCCGATTATGAGTGAGAACATGTAGTATTCTGTTCTTTGTTTCTGTGATACAAACCACCTCTTAAGAGCTGCAGGGGAAGTGGTATCCTTAGCACAGAGCCAGGTTTTAGGATTAAATGACATAACACACGCAAGGTCCTAGGCTCCACATAGTGGGCACTCAACAAACATTAGTTCTCGCTAAACATTCACTCAAATATTTGTAGGCCCTGGCTCTCCCGTCCCTTCCCCTACCTCTTTACTGAAAAAGCTGGGGCTAGGTGAGAGGATCAGGCGGTTAGAAGCGTTTCACAATCGGCCAGGGGCTACCTTTTCCCCGGGAAAAAGCCGAAGAACGACGGTCGTTCTCCCCCGTGTGCAGGGCATCCCTCGAGGAGACACGCTTTCTATCAACAGACATTAGTGGAGCATCCTACCAGTGCCAGACCCCAGCGACACAAACAGGAAACGCACGCTTGACTGCAGGTGGGGCGGGCGGCCGCGATGTGGGTCATGCCCCACATTGGTAGAAGGTTTCATACTGCCGACTTTTCCAAGTTCGCCGCGTACTTTTGGCTAAGGTAAAATGTCGGAAGTCGGTGTGCAGCAGTACGGAGACTCCTCCAGGACTGGCCTGCGTGGCTTCACCCTCCTAGTACGCACTCTCCAGTTCGGCCGCTCCCACCCAGTGTACCGAGGTCCACGTGGACGCCCTTACGACCGCCGGGCGGGACGTGATGGGCGGGGTCGGGCATGAGGGCGCGGCTGGCCCCGCCCCCGGGACTCCCATGGCCCCTCGCGCCCCGCGGCCAGATGCTGACGTGTCCTTTCCTTCCCACTACACCTCCCGACACCACCTACTCCATCTGCCCCGGAAGTCCCGCCCCATATTTCGCCCATCACCGCAAATCAGCTCTTTCAGCGCTTCCTGGAGCTCCCCATCCGTTTGGGCACTAAGGGGCGGGGCTTCGTGAGTCGGGTGTCCATTGGCTTGAGGGCCAGCAGGCTCCGGGCGCTCATTGGCTAGAGGGCGGTGGCGCTCTGGCACGCTTGCGCGTCGAGTAGAACGTGTGGCGGCGGCGGAGATCGCGTCTTCTCTTTCGCTCCCAGTGCCGCTGCTGCTCCTGTGAGCGTCCAGCGCGTCCGTCCCGTCCATCGTCCGCAGCTGGTCGCCAGCCCTTCTCTCGCCTGGCGGCCTCTCGGTGACACCGACATCCACATTGACACCTTCAGCCCGGCCGGCCGCTCCGCTCGCTGCCTTTGCATCTCCACACATGGCCTCCTCCGCGCAGAGCGGCGGCTCCTCCGGGGGACCCCCGGTCCCCACCGTGCAGCGGGGCATCGTCAAGATGGTGAGAACGGGATCCAGGACACCCACCCCTCTGCCCTCCTTCAGGCGCGAATCAGGCGTTGACTCCTCTTCACCTCCCGCCAGCCTGCATGATTTCCCAAAAGCCCTTTCCTCTGTCCCCTTCCTCACTTTTCACCCGTTCTCCGAATCCCCTCCCTAGACGGAACCCGACACGGGCTCCCGCTGGTTCTTGCCTTCCGGACACCCTGGCAGCAGGGGTCACAGTGATTTCTGTGGTCGCGGCAGTCGGATCTCCTTGGCTGTTCACTAGGACAGCTCGATGACTGATTGATTAACGGAGATAATTGGTTGATATGTCCTCCTGTCCCCCTTCTTTCTGTCCATTTTGACATCTGCTGATTAGTTGGCAGTTTTTCGAGATCCTGACATCTGCCCTTCCCTGGAACCCTAGGAGTACTTGGCCGTCGTGAAGCTTTTCTGTTTCTACCGACGCTCGCTCACTTCAGGTTTTCTCGCTTTTTGGTTCTTTTTTCCTGTCTTTGTTCCTCCACCTCTTGTGTTTAGTCTGTAGGCCTGAGAGCACCTGATCGTTGTGTCCTTTGATTTTTAAAGTGGTGGGCTGGTATGAATCTTAGAAATCATCATTGCTTTTCCATCTCTTACAGATAAGGAAACAGGTATAAGAGGGCAAGTGACCTGCCTAAGGTCACATGGTGGCTTGGGTGGGAGCCAAGACAAGAGCCCAAGTGTTCTGATTCCCAGTCCAGGGGTCATAGCGCTATAGATTCTGCTCAATGTTGTATTCGCTCACTTTCAACATTCTCGAACTGACCCTGCAAGGTTCATTTTTAAAACTTACACCTAGATGCATGGTAATTTTGTAATATAAATTCACTTTATCACCTGCCCCCTCTATCATCCTTTCCCCCAGCCCTCCCAAATCTTGGACTTTTAACTTTGTTACCAGATTTTCTGGTTGTGATGACTGTAAACTTTTAGGTTTAGTTTCAGACTGCAATTCTGTCTTTTCCATCTGGAACAGCATGTATTGTTTATACTTTCTCTCAAAGCTCCACAGTGTTTACTGTTGTAGAAAGTTTTAAAAATTTCTATTTTGTTGTCCCATTGTCTTTCACAGGATTAAAATGTCCTGCAGCTTGTCTGTGTGTAAATTTATTTCAAGATTTGTCCCCTCAATTCCCATGTGTTCATTTCTTAGGTAATATTCTGCCACCATCTGAGCTGCTTGGGATTTTCAATGTTTCCTTTTCCCTTTATTTATACATAACAGAGTCAGAATTTATCAAAAACTGAATGAAAAGGGAATTTCCAGAGTTCACATATTTTTCCCTCTCTGGTCCATGAAAGGATTATTTTGAAGTGGCTCCTCTTTCATTAGCTTTTTCATTTCAACTGATTTTCATTTCACCATAGGAACAGAGCATCACCTGTCTGGTGTTGAAATTGGCAGCGCTAAGTAGATCTTTCTGAGGTTTTTCCTTGCTGAGACTTGAATTGTTCTTAAAGGCCCCTCTCATTTGTGTCTGGGGGAAGAATGGGACCGAAGATATTTTTGCTTCCAACAGTACTTAAGGCTTCCAGGGCATCCGGATTCTCTGAGTTGACTGCCCACAAATTACTCCCATGGACACTGAATATCAACCATTGCTTGTTTATTGTCATGTCTTGTGCTAGGTATTCTGCTTATATGGTCTCATTTATAATACATAGCAAGTAGATACAATTATTGGTGACATTTTACAGATGTGTAATTTGAGGTTTAGAAAGAATGGTTTACTCAAGGACAGGTACTTTGTATTGGTAATAAGAGGCAGAGCTGAGCCTTGAACCCAGGTCTGTCTGCCAGAGCACATGTTCTTCAACATCACACCACCATGCCTCTGACTCCAGGACTCCAGGGTATTACTTTATATCACGGAGGGCAGGGCTGGTGATGCGTAGCCACAAACTGCAGGAAAGTGAAGCTGACTGTAATTGAGAAAAGATTAGATGTTACTCCTTGTCTTGTCTGTAAGCTGCTATTGTGGTAAGTGACTTCATTTGGTGCTTATGGTCTTTGTGTGCATAGAAGTGTGGTATGGAAGATAGCTGAGTCTGGGAGCATTTAAGATTCAGTGATTTGATCAGTCTATACTGAGTATAGATTGGCTGCATTCTCTGACCACACTACAGGGGATGGGTGAGTGAGTTACAGGCAGGGATTAGAGGCGGGAAGCTGAGTGAACTGCAGGGCGACAGGCAGATTTGTGCCCGGCTCAGAAGCCTTGTCTGGAACGAAAAATTGACCACTGGCAAATTGCTCTGTGGGAAGCTCTTCTGCTAAGCAAAGTTGTATTTCCTGGAGAGTAATCGTTTCCAATGGTACTAGGAACTGCTTTGTAAGAACTCTGCAAAGGAAGATGGAGCTCTGTGACAGATGAAAGTGAGAAGGAAATAGTTTGATTTATAGGAAAACAGGAGACACAACTTTTCTGCCTTTTGGAAGAGAGGCAGAAACTGGAACACTGACTAATCAGAGATACTTTTCAATGTGAATCTTCTGGATTTTTCTGGACTCAGGCTGAACTGAACTGAAGGTGGAGATTTACTGCAGTGAAGAGGAACAGTCCTACCTCTTTTTTGAATCAAGGTCTCACTCTGTTGCCCAGCTAAAGTTTTGCACAATCAGTGCTTACCCCAGCCGCCAACTCCTGGTCTCAAGCAGTCCTCCTGCATCAGCCTCCTGAGTAGCTGGAACTATAGGTGTGCACTACCATACCTGGCTAATTTTGAGATTTTTTTTTGTAGAGGTGAGATCTCACTATGTTGCCCTGGCTGGTCTCAAATGTCTGACCTCAAGTGATCCCCCCGTCTTCGCCTCCCAAAGTGTGATTATAAGGACCATCTTGACCAGTGGTCCTTCCTCTTTTTTTGGCAAAAGAAAGTGTTGTAAGGCTGTGGAAGGTACAAGTTTCTTCTGGTCTCTGCCTTGCTATCTTACTAAGTCCTGCCTTGCTTTGTTTAAGGTTGAAGAACTTGGGGAAACAAGTTGTAAAACACTGTCACTAGTTTTGAAAAAGTGATGGTGATGGTAGCACCTGTGCCTGCTAGTTAGTGTGGAGGGAAGGGACAGAGTTGGTTCTGGAATGCTTAAGGAGGAAGTGGGCAGTTAGTTGATACAGGCATTTTGGAGCAGTTCTGCTACTGACAAAAGTCTGTGAAGATGATGGAAAAACTGAAGATGGATTTATATTTTTACTTGGGAAGAGACTAGCAAGTGTGGGTGGACAGACTACAACCTGGGTAAGTAAATGTTTTTTATCAAATCAGATCTTATTTTCTCAAAACCTTGAAGGATTCTAACTCTGGCTTTCTTTGAACAATTTGCTAGACCTTTAGCTGTAATGGAATATTGTCAGGCGATGTTAAGTAACTGAGGTAGGAGAAGTCGTGGGCATTTAGTGTAAATTCAGTCGCCACACTTAGTAGCTAATAGAGATGGCTGTTTTCTCTGGTGTTACTAATCTGATTTGCTCTGTTTTGGGAAAAGAGCCCTTTTCTTTGTCTTTTTACCCTTTCTTTTGTAATTTGTTATGTTTGCAAGTCTTTTCAAGCAGGAGCACCTGGGCTGCTTTCCCAGCAGCCGCATGAGTCTTGAATACTTGAACCTTCTGTGCTTATCAGGTACAGCCATGGAAGTAGCATATCTTGTCCTGCTTATGGTGTGGAAGACTGAAGGGAGGACAATGCCAAATCCCAGTTCCCATTTCACTCCACCCTCTTAGCTTAATTGCCTTGAAGGGGAGGGATCATCTGCCGGTCTTCTGTTTTGTATTAAGCACCATGATTCTCACTGGTTCACTAAGGTATCCCATCATCCTTGGGAGGAGATGGCCATAATTTTCTCCTCCTCTTGAACTTGTACTGTCTGGTTGTTATAAAGCAAGATCTAGACTTTTTTGAGTAGCTTAGTGGAAATTTCTTCAGTGTACAGCCTCATTTCCATGCTACCTATAATTTAGTTCATCATAGCTAAATGTTTCTTAGGTTTCTGAACTAAGATGTAAAATAAGCTTTGAAGAGTTCAGTGGAGACAGAGTAGTCTCTTGACCTGCTACTTCCTACATGAACTTAGCTTATGTAGGAAAACCAATGTTCTATGTTACTTAAAATACCCCCATTTTTACTACTCAAAGGAATAAGGTAGCTGAATAACAAACAGTATTTTTAGAAGAGCCATTTGTAATGAAGAAGGTAGTCTTTTGACCTGCTACTTCTTTTTTTTTTTTGAGTTGGAGTCTCACTGTCGCCCAGACTGGAGTGCAGTGGCTGTTCCCGGCCACCGCAGCCTCAACCTGCTGGGGCTCCGTCGATCCTTCCGCCTCAGCCTTCCAAGTAGCCGGAACTACAGGCGTGTGCTACCACGCCTGGCTAATTTTATTTATTGTAGAGATGAGGTCTCGCCTGCCCAGGCGGGTCTCGAACCCGCGGGCTCAGGCAATCCACTCACCTCAGCCTCCCAAAGGCGCGGGATTACAGGCTGAGCCACCGAGCCCGGCTGACCTGATACTTCTTACGTTAGATTAGCTTATGCAGGATGGGAGGCTTTTCCCTGTAGTGTTAAAATTACCTATTTCCCAGCAGGTAAGTGTGGTAGCTTTCAATCAAAATTATATGTAAAGGAGTTTTTACTATATCTTAAAGGTCTACTTTCATTTTTCTGTGAAAAGGAAGCATCCATCTGGCTCTAGTTATGTTAGCTGTGGTGCTGCCATGTAGTAACTAATGAAATAGAATGCTAAGCAGTCATATTTCCTTTCTTTCTTTTTTTTTTTTTTTTTGTGTTGGAGTCTCACTGTGTTGCCCAGACTGGAGTGCAGTGGCACACTCCCAGCCACTGCAGCATTGACCTGCTGGGCTCTGGCGATCCTTCCGCCTCAGCCTTCCAAGTAGCTGGAACTACAGGTGCGCGCTACCACGCCCGGCTAATTTTTTTGATTTATGTAGAGATGAGGTCTCGCCAAGTTGCCCAGGCGGATC